CGTAAGAGGGAGAGATAAGCTGATGATGGAGATCATCTAATTAAATTCAATGACATCTTATTGGAGGTTTTACCACACAAACACACACACACACACACACACACATACATACATACATACATACATACACACCCACAAACATACATAAATTCACTTTTTACCTACATACAAAAGTAATAATCGATTTTCCTACATAAAATAACTCAAAAAGTATCCACGTCATCATCAACCTCGCCATCGTCCCAGTCATCCATGAAATCTCGGACTTTTTCCATGGGAAGACGTTTGTGGAAATTGAAAAACAATTGTATGCTGCTGCTACTACTGCCTCGCTACTACTACTACTAATGCTACTACTACTACTGCTACTACTACTACTACTGCTACTACTGCTACTACTACTACTACTACTACTGCTACTACTACTACTGCTACTACTACTACTGCTACTGCTACTACTACATACTACAACTACTGCTACTACTACTGCTACTGCTACTGCTACAACTACTACTACAATTACTGCTACTACTACTGCTACTACTACTACCGCCACTACTGTTACTACCACTGCTACTGCTACTACTACATACTATCTATGGAAAACTAAAAGTTTGCATTTAAAACGTTGGTGCCAATTTGATCACGTTCAGACATTTATATTTCACACATACATACACAGATACATTAACAAGCATACCAACAAACAAACAAACATACATACATACATACATAATCCATTTGTTACTTGATGTTTGACGGTTCAGTGTCACTCATCATATTTTGGTTTTAACATACATACATACATACATACATACATACATACATACATACATACATACATACATACATACATACATACATACATACATACATACATACATACATACATACATACATACATACATACATACACACATACATACATACATACACACATACATACATACATACACGTACATTCATACAAATAAACAGAAACATAATTTAATTATTTCCATTCCGATTCTTTGATGTTGAAATAAAACAAAATGGCTTATTTTGTCTTTTTTGAAATGAAAAATTCATCGAGTGAATTTATTCAACGCACACTTATGAAAAAATGTTTTTATGTAATTATTGCTGTAACTTAATGTAATTTAATGTATTGCTTTGTATCAATGGGTGTGCTTCGGTATGTGTATGTGTTTGCAATGTATTGTTTTGTATGAATGTGTGTGCTTGTGTGTGTGTGTGTGTGTTTGTACTGTATTGTTTTGGTTGAATGTGTAAGTGTATGTTTGTGCGTGTATCTGTTTAATGTATTTTTTGTATGAATGTGTGTATTTGTGTGTGCGCGCGTGTGTGCGTGTGTGTGTGCGTGCGTGTGTGTGAATGGAAGAAAACAAATGCGCTAGCGTATCTGAAATCTTATTGGCTATCAACGGAAAGACAGATGAACGCATGATTAAACGAATGAATGAATAATTGAATGAATGAAAAAATAAATAATTTGGCGAGGGATTGATTAAATGAACGAACAAATGAGTGAATTAATGAATGAATGCTTATGTGTGTGGATAAATGAAGGAATGGATGTGTGTAAATGAATGAATAGATGGATGAATGAATGGATGTATGATTGGGCGGAGAGATGAATTGTTGAATAAAAGAACGAACAAACGAACAATCGAATGAATGAATGAATGAATGAATGAATGAATGAATGAATAAATGTATGAATAAACTTATAAGCGAATAAATAAGTGATTGCATTAAAAACTGTGAAAGAATGAGAAAATGAATAAATAACAAAAAAATCTAAAGCCAATTAACTTGACGATGCGACAAAATTAATTAATTAATTATTAATTACAAGAAATAAATAATTCGTTGAATGTAGTCATGTGTATTGAAAAGAAAAAATTAATTTGCTATTTAGAAAATTAATAAATGATGAATGAATGAATGAGTGAGTGAGTGAATGAATGAATGAATGAACAAATAAATGAATGATGAATGAGTGAATGGTCTGTGAACATTGGAGTGAACGAACTACAGAAGGAACGCGCAATCTTAATAAACATATGAACGTTAAGGCAACCAACCAGCTGATCGGCCAATCAACCAACTCATCAATCTACCAATAAACCAATTAAAAAACAAACAAACCGACAAACAATCAAACGAACGAACATACACACCAGAAAAATTATTTCATAACGGATGAACGAATGATTGAGCAATTGAATCAAACAAAAATGTCAACAAATGGTGCATGAAATTCAACGTAGTACATACAAACTTACATACAAACATACATAGACATGCATACATACATACATTTGACATTTTTATATTTCATCAAATCAAAACATACATACATACATAGACATACATACATACATAGACATACATACATACACACATTCATTCATACATACATACAAACAAAAAACATAGATACATATAATTTTTTTTTATAAATAAAACAACAAAGACACGGAAATCCATTTAATTCAATGTAATTCACTATTTTATCTTTTTGTTTTTGTGGCTATTATTATTATTATTATTATTAATATTGTTATTTTCATTATTTACAATATTTTTTATTTTTATTTTTATGTAAATAAAAATAAGTATTTTAACGTCATTTTAATGATGGGATCATTTTCTTTGAAACCCATGAAACCCAATATCGAAGTCATATTATACAAAAATATTGTGTATAAATATATTTGTCTCACTCTCTCTCTCTCTTTCTTTCTCTCTCTCTTTTTTTCTCTCTTTTTTTCTTTCTTTGTCTCTTTCTCTATTTGTCTTTCTTCTCTTTTTCTCTCTCTCCGGTATGTATGTATGTATGTATGAATGTATGTATGTGTGTATGTGTGTATGTATGTATGTATGTATGTATAAATGTGCGTATGTATGTATGTATGTTAGTATTATTATTATAAAAAAAATGTATGTATGTATGTATGCATGTATGTATGTTAAAACCAAAACATGATGAGTGACACTGAACCGTCAAACATCAAGTAACAAATGGATTAACACTTTGATTTGTCGTTAATTGCACATGTCGGCATTCAGTTGGACATTTTCAAGCACACAGACACGCAGGAACCGCTGCAACAAGCACGAAATGTGGTTAGTTGCGAAAAACAGTTCCCTGCTGTCGCCTGATCTGACGCTGATCATTTTACATATTGCCTTAAGAAATTTAAGGGTGTTGGGGTCCATCGGGCCGAGAACCTCGATACATATTGGCAAGAATTCCATCGAGGGGAGGGCGTTCCCATATTTTTTCATTTTCTCGTCCGCTGCCCTGGCCGCGGCCAAACCGCATTCTTTACTTGTCGGGTTTACGTATCGTTCGGCGAGGGTGCCAGGGACCGTAACATCCTACGCCAAACATCTGCCGGCTCTCCAAGGTATTAGCGTGCATCCGTCCGGGCGCCTACCATCATGCGCAGAAATGCCGGATGGTTCCTTGAAAACCGGGATTGAAGCCTTGGAGAAGAGCCGACAAATGTATTCGTTTAGCGCTGAGTGACGTAGTTGACGGCCCACACCCAGGCGACAAACCAAACCGTGGTGCCCAAACTCGTCCGCCCCTGCGCCACATCGGCACGTGTATTTATTCTGAATGACCAGGCCAAGTCTGAAGCCAATGGCAAATCTCACAGACTCGTCGTCAAGCCTGGTGCCCACAGAGGTGTTGGGCCACGATCTCAACCACCCACAGCTGGCAACGCTGGACATGGCCAACAAACGAGCGGTGGAAAAGTCGTCGCCGCATGAAAACAACAAATTTTGAAAGATTTTTTTTATATTCTTCGTTCAAAATTTTGACGTGCGTACGGTCTCCCGGGGCGGACACTGGGGGAAGAATATCGCGGCAACGAAAAAACTGGTGGAGCAAGGAAGACTGCAGGTTGAGAGTGGCAGCGACAGAAGAATTATAAACAACGGGAGCCAGCTGAACCACTCTAAGCAACCCCAGCTCACCAAATAGCACCGGTAGCTGAGCCTGGGACCAACCACAGTCGGTCACTTGAACATTGCAAATCGACGACAGGGCGGTGCGCAGGGCTCCGTCAAATTTGCCCAATTTAGAAGGGTCAATGTGTTTGGATGTACGCAGGAAGTACATCAATTTGGGCAAACATTGCGGATAATAGTCAAGGCATCATGGGCGGAAAGACAGGAAACACGACCCAGGGCGAATTTAAGCACAGAGAGCTTTTGGTCAAAAAACTTTATTTGATAATCGCCCTCGACCAAGGGTGTGCCTAAAAAACTCAGTTCTGATGCACCAACTCTGGGTATTTCAGCCAGCGCATGTGGCACCTGAAATAAACTTTGGCAGTGAAGTTCGCATTTTTTAATGTTTAACTCTAAACCAATTGCAGTGGAGTTATGCTTCAAATATTCGTAGCTATCGGCCAGAGTTGGGCCGTCCGAAGCAATGCTGATATCATCCAGATAAGCGCAAACGAAAGTGGACGAAGCTTTCTCTAAGAGTGGATGAAGAGTTAGTGCGAACAGCAAAGGACCAAGGGGATCACCCGCTGTACCCCCTCGGCCGATTCTACAACCCAAGAGTGGTAGCCAAGGGAAGAGACTCTACCATAGGCAGAATAGAAAAAATTATAGATATTGGGGCAAAAAAGTTTTACAGCTTCCAACATCGAGTTTCTTCTCAAGGCATTGAAGGCATTTTAAAGTTCAGTTTCAGAAACCCCCATTGATCGGGGAGGTCGGTGTCCAATCTTCGAACCGCATGAACAGCGGCCTCAGCGCCACCCTTAATCCCGACACCCAACTGAGTCGGGTAGAATTTAGTCTTGAGTTCGACCACGACCAGGGCCAAGGCACATTTGCCGGCCAACCTCCTCCAAACGTTCCCGACCGCAATCGGTCTGACCCCTCCGTCTTTCTTATTTAAAGCTATTAGCCGGCCTTCAAAAAAGAACCGGCGGACGGAGAGTGGGCAAGCTCCAGATAGGATCAAATTAATGAATTGGGTTAAGGAGTTCAGTGTGTCGTCGATTGGCAAGGGGCCTGAAAAACATCCTCAAGTTGTGCTTTTGTGATTTGGCATTATTGAACCCATCAAAGCACAGTACCAGGGTTTCAAGACCAATAGTTGAATATTCGTTTAGACGCTTGTTGACAAGATTGCCCTGGTTGACCCGGCGACCCCCTCTGGAAGTCTTCTGTAAGACGTATGGGAAAAAACAGTGGAGTCTAACCCAGTGAGCCGGGTCACCAGGGTCATTACAAACAGCCGTCAGCAAGGCGTTCAGATCATGTGCAAACTTCTCCCTGCATGGCTTAGGAATATGGTCGTACACCGGTACACATTTCAGCACGGCCGTCAGCTTGTCAAAAACACCAGAGTAATCCAGGCCGAGAGGATCACCGGAGACCGATGCGGCCGACGACCGTGTGGGCAACCCGGGCTTGGGGTCGGGTGCGGCACCGAGAGGCGAAGCAGCCCTCGCGCCCGATGGATCAACTTTTTTCCGGGACCCCGAGCATTCCTGTCCTTTCACTTTACCTCCGTGCCGACATAACTTCCCGTCTGGAGTGCTTCTATAGTGGTAAAGCAGACGGGGCACTGTTGTAACGTTGGAGCCATATGTGATTAAAAACAACCAAGAAACGAAGGAAAGGAAGCAAACCAAGTGGGGTGGATGGATGAATGAATGGATGAACCAGCGAATGACCAAATGAACGGGCCAGCGAACAAACGAATGAATGAGTGAATGATGGGGGAATGAATGAGCTAATTACTGAACGGACGAGTGAGGGAAAAAAAGAATGAATGAGTGAATAAATGAATGAATGAATGAATGAATAAATAAACAACTGAACGAATGGATGAATGAACGAATACATGAATGAGTGACGGAATGAATGAACGAGCGAACGGATGAATGACTGAATTATCTTTAAATATTTAACCAGTGGAAAATATATATAACTTTTTCAACTTTTATTTATTTTTTTTCTTTTCTTTTTTTTTATTTATTGATGAATGAATGAGTGAGTAAACAAATGAGTGAATGAGTGAATACAAAAACCTAGGTAACAGTGTGGGAGGAGACAACTATTGCAGCAAACTTTGGCCCAATCTCTCCCCTTATAGTTTATTTTTTTTTTACACAGATTTTAAAAATTGGTTTAGGAAATTTCTTTTTTATAAATAAATTTTAATTTTTAATTTTAATTTCAAAAGTAAATTAAAAATAAATGTCGGTAGAAGGTAAATAAGTTAAAATGTAGTGAACTTTCCGATAATAATAAAACCAGCTCACACCTGGCGCAGGCCGGTGACCTGTAGCAGCTATGAGCTGTGAATAAATTATAATATTGACAAAAAAACAAAAAACGAAAAAATTGGCCGAGGCAGGGCAGAAAAACGATAAAAAATGACGGAAAAACAAACCCGGGACAAAATTACAGCCGATGACCCCAAAAATCATATGTAAAAACGATTTAAAATCTATGAATTTAACAAAAATAACCAGGAAATTAAAACAATCCAGCCGGCTTCGAATGTGAACAAACGATGTATCTATGTATGTATGTATGTTTATACTTTGCAAACAAAATGCAATCATGAATCAAAATTCAAGAACGCTGAAAACAAGCAAAGAAAAAAAATAAAAAAAAAACAAACAAAGAATTGCGAATAAGTTAGCCAACTTGGGCATCTGACCATCCCGTTCTCTGTAACGCATGAAATAAGTGGGCGATAAAAAATCGCGGTGACCTTTATTTTCTAGAAAATTATTCAAGGTCAGACCTCCTTCAAGGTCGGAGCCTGAAGGTCACGTGGAAATGTGGTTACTGTTGCTTTTGCGGTTTGTTGATTGGAGAGTTTTTTATCTTTTGTCGTACGTTTGAAGATTTTGATGTTTGGAATGTAGAAGTAGTGCTATTATTATTCTTATTGTTATTACTATTATTAATAGTAGTAGTAGTAGCAGTAGCAGTAGTAGTAGTAGCAGTAATAGTAGTAGTAGCAGTAGTAGTAGTGGTAGCAGTAGTAGTAGCAGCAGCAGCTGTAGTAGTAGCAGTAGCAGTAGTAGCAGTAGCAGTAGTAGTAGTAGTAGTAGCAGTAGCAGTAGTAGTAGTAGTAGTAGTAGTAGTAGTAGTAGTAGTAGTAGTAGTAGTAGTAGCAGCAGTAGAAGTAGTAGTAGTGGTGGTAGCTTCAGCTGTTTTAAATGTTCTAATGACGTGTGTATGTTTGTATGTCCGCATTATTGTAGACGGTCTATTCAGGCCGATCTATTTGCTTCCGACTTTTAACTTGCTCAAAATGTAAAAATGAAATCCGTTATATTGATATATTATTATTATTGGTTATTTTTATTATTATTATTTTTATTATTTCGTCTATTGGACTTTCATGATAATTTTCAATTGCCGCATCGTATAAGCATAGTTTGGTTTTTATGCTTTTTTGTGTGTTTGCATGTACGTATATATGTGTTTGTTTGTATGTGTTTGTTTGTATGCATGTATGTATGTATGTTTGTATGTATGAATGAATGTATATACGTATGTATGTTTGCTTACATGTGTGTATATGTCTATATTGGCAATGTATTTATGTATATATGTGCGTGTTTCAATCCGCGTGCGAATGTGGACTACAACAACAACAACAACAACAACAACAACAATAACAACAACAACAAAACTCCAAAGACAAGAAAAATCAATTAGCCAAAGACGAAAAAAAATGTTATTTTTGTTATCTTTGGTTCAGAGGAAGTTGATGCATAAATCAAATGACGCCACATCATTCGTATTACTACTAGCAGTAATACTATTACTCCTAGCGTTATTTTTATTGTTGTTGTTATTATTAATATTATTATTTCGATTGTTTTATTGTGTATATTGTGTTGTTGATGGTATAGTGATGATTTCAAATACTGTTTGATTGCAAGTTATCATTACCATCATCGTCGTCGTCATCATCGTTACCATCACAGCCATCGTCATCATCATCAACACCACAATCGCCATCATCATCATCATCCTAATCGTCATCATCATGAGAGAGCAGGTATTGTAGTAGGATTAAAAAAACTATCGAAAGTACTAATGGTAGCAATAAAAATACTACTACCCCTGCTACTACTACTGCTGCTGTTTCTACAACTACTACTACAACTACTACCACTACTACTAATAATAATAATAATGACAATAGTAATTTTTGTCTTGTTAATCATGAATTTTTTCTTGCACTATCATTACTATAATCGTTATTGTTATTACATTTTTATTATTAACGTTTTTATTATTATTATAATTATTATGATTATTATTATTATTACTCTTTTGATGTTATTTAGCTCATACATAATTTAGTGTGTCTTTTATAAATGAGAGTGCCTTAGATGTTCAGCATTGGATTACGTATGTACGAATGAACATACGTGTGTGCGTGATGGTTTGTATGTGTTTGTGTATGCACGTGTGTGTGTGTGCTTCTGTGTGTGTGTGTACTTCTGTGTGTGTGTGTGCGTACTTCTGTGTATGTGTGTATGTAATCAGTCGGTTTTGTAAAGTTGATATCCATATAATACAAACAACTTCAACCCACTTGTCAATGATTGCTTGACACTGGTTTTTCATTTTTAAAAATAAGCCTCTTCAGTTTTGGGGTGGTTTGCTGTAAAAAATTAAAGAAAACAATCAAAATAATCGCACGCACAGCGCACAACGCACGCACATACAGTATACATACAAGCACACACAGTCACACACTCCCGTACATACAAGACGAAAAACTCAACTAAAAAAATGCAAGCAAATAAACTAAGCAAACATGAAACGATGCTAGTTGGCTGTGTTATATATAGCCATTGCATACAAACACACACACACAAATACACATAAATACACACGCACATACATACACACGCACACATGCAGACACACGCACATATACAGATACACACACACACGCACACATATGCTACGGTGTGAATATAGTAGGAGATTTACTATTCCCTGGCTAACTATCCCTAATAGCCACAATGAAAATAGTAGCCGAAACAAAAATTTTTTTCTTGCTCTTTCACCAGCACACATGCAGACAAAAACACACACTCACACAAACATACACACACACAGCAACAGCAGCAGTGTTAGAAGTCGTCGTCGTCGTCGTCGTAGTAGTAGTAGTAGTAGAAGTAGTAGTAGTAGTAGTAGTAGTAGTAAAAGTGATATTTCTAACAAATGCTTTCTGTAGTACACTGCCTATATTTTTACACAGAAAAGTTTCATCATCATATCCACGGATGAGATTTTTTTAAAAAGAGAGCGATAATGAGAAAAAAACTTAGAAAACTGTTCGGTATATACAGATGCCAGAAAAAAAACACAAAGAAATAAAAACATGGAAATTACAACACAAAAAAAACGCTGAAAATAGTGAAGGATAACATAGAAGAATGAACATTTATGTTGCAAAAACTTTCGCGCAAAAAATTCGTATAATTTTTTGTCTTTGTTTTTTGTTATTTCCTTATTCCAATTTTTTACTTTTAAAATTTTTCAAAACTTTTCTTACTTAATCTCCGAAAAAAAGTTATGATTAGGAAAACAAATAGAAATAGCAATACTACCACTTCTACTGCTGCTACTAGCGCTGCTACTTCTACTACTACTACTACTGCTACTACTGCTACTACTGCTGCTACTACTGCTCCTACTACTGCTGCTGCTACTGCTGCTACTGCTACTACACGCATCAAACACACACAGTATGGAATGAGATGGAATCTTTTTGCATTCAAACCTGCTTCCTGTAACGGCAAAGCCAGGAACCTTACACCTTCATGGTATACCGTAATATCTATTCGCATCTAAATTCAGAGACACGTGGTCCTCTTTGCTGGTACTTTGCAATTAAATTCACTTAAGCGTAGCCGACCGATTCATTGAAAAATCAAATTCGTAATAGATTTTTTCAAATAAGGAAGAATATCCATTACCTTAGGGTCTGAATGACTACTTAGAATAGTTTAATAATAGCATATTTGGGTATAATAAAACCGAGAAAAGTACATACAAACATATACAAACAAACAAACAAACAAACAAACAAACATACATACATACATACATACATACATACATACATACATACACACATACATACATACATACAAATGTACATACAGCCAGCACAGGCTTATTCATCACGTCTTTTCATCACGTAGTTATGCGTGTTTAAGGAGTATTGATTTCTTAACGAAAAAATGTTTTTTTCTCTAGAATACAAAAATACCAAAAAAATGTAGACAAATTTTTATCATAAATACATACAAAACATGATTTTGTATGTATGTGAGTACACTCATTTACATACAAACACAACTGCAGACAAACATACATTCAAACACATCCACATACAAACATAAACACGTACATAAATCCACACATACATACACACGTATACAAACACACACTCACACAAACTAATGCGTGCGTATTTTTGTATTTTTTATATTGTTTGTGATAATATTTCTAATTTAAATTCACACAAAAACGCGTTGTAACAAATTTATCGGCATGCACTTATAGTTATTTGGCTTATACAATTAGAATTATAATACCGGATATACAATTATAATACACGAATAAAACAAAATACAAAAACACAAACAAAACATACAAATGAATATACAAAAAACACATACAAAACAAATAGTTTGTTTGCAATGGATTGATCGCCAGTTAAAGCAACACTTTGACTGATGGCGTTCATTCTATACTGAAGCGTGACTTGCACATAACAAGCTGGATAATGTCAAAACCGGGAAATGATCATCATGACTTTGTTGATGACGTCATCGTCCTTCATGATGTCATCATTACTCTGCTGACGATGACGTTAATGATGATGATGATGATGATGACGACGACGACGATGATGACTTGAACATTAGAAACTGGATAATGTCAAAACGGAAGGATGATCGTCATGGCTATGATGACGTCATCGTTACTATGTTGATGATGATGATGATGACTTGATGACGTAAACAGTGTTGGTGATGATGATGAATGAATGATGAATGAATGATGATAAAGCTAAAGATAATGATCACGACGATGATGTTGAGGTTGTGATGATGATGATGATGATGATGGTGCTGATGATGATGAGATTTATAATAACGACGTCGTTGTTGACATTGTAAATGGTCTTGCTGATGACGACGACAACGATGATGATGATGATAGAGGTAATGATGACAGGAATAATGGCGACTATTCTTTCTTTGTCTCTCTCTCTCTTTCTTTCTCTTTCTTCCTTTGCCTCTTTCTCTATCTCTCTTTCTCTTTTTCTCTCTCTCCGTTTTGTATGTATGTATGTATGTGTGTATGTATGTATGTATGCATGTATGTATGTATGCATGTATGTATGAGTGGGTTTGTTTGTTTGTTTGTATGTATGTATGTATGTATGTATGTATGTATGTATGTATGTATGTACATATGTGTGTGGATTTGTTTGTATGTATGCATGTACGTATGTATGTATGTATGTATGTGTATAAAATAATTTATATAGAAAGTCATGGATGCATGCAAATACATCTGTGGGCGTCTGAGCAATAAAGAGTTTGTATGGAATACCCAGATGACGTTAAGTTATTGCGTATCGGATACCGCAACATTTGTATTTTTTGTGGTTTTTGTATTCTTGCGTTTTTGTATTTCTTGCATTTTGTATGTATTGGGTGTGTTATTTTTCGTGTTAGGTTCTTTGTCTGTATGTACGTAAGCTTATTTGTTGTAACGCGATACGTAAAAACAACAACGACAACAACATCAACAGCAACAACGACAACAACAACAGCAACAACAACAACAACAACACTAACGACAACAACAACGACAACAACAACGACAACTACGACAACAACAACAACAATGACAACAACAACAACAACAACAACAACAATGAAAAAAATAATAATTTTTGAAAATTTTGATAAAAATAATTCCATCTCTCACGCGATTTCCAACAAAAGTTTGGAATTAAACGTTGAGACCGATATCATCAGTTAGCTTGGATTGAATTGAATGAGATTTTTGTTTGTATGTGTGCATGTATGTATTTATGTATGCATGTATGTATGTATGTATGTATGTATGTATGTATGTATGTATGTATGTATGTATGTATGTATGTATGTATATATGTATATAT